AAATATATAGTATACTACATTACTGTAAGTAATTCTGAGAAAATTAAATTTTTTTAACTAATAAAACAAATATAGTGTTGCTGTTGCAAAAATAAAACTGAGCTGTTTCCTGACTTGAGGCGTAAACATTACATGGTGGAAACAGCATTAGATGAACAGCAACTTCCTGTATGCCATAATTAGTATGCTCTGTTATAACAGTTGAACAAGGTTAAATATCAGTAACATGAACACTCATCATCCTCAGATGCTTGTTAATGAGTATTCTGGAGTTGTGCCATGCCTAGGAGGATACTAATGTAGGCTAATGGAAGTATAAATCATACATTTTATAGTAAACAATGGAAGTATTCACTTCACTATAACAAAATGAGCATGAATGCCTCTTTCTTCCTGACTGGACCCTTTAATAAAGCTTAATGAGTTTTAATTGACTGAGATTACTGCTGCCCCCTGCAGGCTTTATAACTGTGCTCAAGAACCGCAAGCAATAAGAAACAATCAGTGTAATAATAAGCGTGACAGAGAGATTGCAGTTTAACAAAGCTTTAAGTGAGCAGCCTTTTGTTGTTAAGAACGAGTTCCGGGATGTTTGTATTCAGAGGCCAAGAGTGGGGTTTTCAGTAAATGGCCTTTTTCTTTTCTGGCAAAGCATAGGCCTATCTGTTTTGGATAAAACTCAAAGATCTACTTTTATCTGTTTTCATCAGATAATGAAATTGAATCAGTGTTGATATACATTGTGTATGACAATTTGTTTCAAATTCATTTACTAATTGAAAAAAAAAGGCTAATGACTAATGTTCCTATTCTTGAGAAATTGCTGCCAGCTGAGGCTCAAATTTACAGAAAGATCTTTATTACCTCAAGATGTTAGGTCAAGCATTTGGCTGACATTGAAATTGAGATCGATCATATCAGCATTAGCTAAATTGCTTAAAGCAGACACGCAATTGTCCAAAAAACCTTAACTTGATTGGTTTTGAGAGTAATATAAATTCCCTGAAACGGAGAGCTGTTAAAAATATAAAAGTTCAAAACACAAAAGTTTCTTTGTTTTTTTGTTTTGTTGTATTACTTCTGTGGCGACACAATGTCTGTTGTTTTTTACTATTTAAAGAAAGACCACTCCATTCACTCAAGACTGATAGTAAGAACTGAAATTCACCTAGACTAATTTGTATTTTATGCGTTCATTTCAAACTGAGCGACGCTGACTCTCTTGCCAACATTGATTCTCCTGCTCAGATCAGGAGACTCTAGTCTAGTGCTTCATTAACAAACTCCCTCAGCTTGTCACTGAAATGACAGAAACGGCAATGATTTTACAGCATATACATAAATTAGATAAGTGTTTTATCCAGAATGTTATAAACAAAACCATGGTGAATCTGATGGGATAAAGACAGACCATCTGTCCATCAGCATGTTTTCAGAGTGATTTCCTTACTAATGAACTCTGTCACGTCATTGAAGGTTGAAATGCACTTGAAATATTTATACCTGAACATTATAAACAAAGTATTAACAACAACATCATCCTTCTTAACTTACTAAGAAGAACGGATCAACGTCTTCAAGCAAGGTTATAACAGGACAGGAATGGAATGCAAATGGTTGAACAGTCCCCCAAACCACTGAAAAACTGGCAGAACATTCGGACTAATTTCAGACAACAACCTCAAATGCTTCCCCTGGAATTCACATAGAGTTAAATTTGCTATCAAGTTCCTTTAGTTGTTCTCGTTTTCGACATCTCACCCTATCAGTGGTCAGGAAACAGATCAGTATTTGGCATAGAGAAGGTTATCATTCTCATACACACCCACTCACTAGTCACAATTTAGACATTGTGTTTTAATGCTCACCAGCTTCCTCATTCCTGGAAGTTTTAAATATTTATAAAAGAGATGAGAAAATGTTGTGATTTTTTTTCTCATCATCGCAATACTGTGTGTTTAAATAACATTGGAATTGGGAATCTAAGAAGCAATGGAAGGCTGCAGGTCTGCTTAATTATATTATGTAATCTATGGCATCATTTTTTATAGATCTTCTTTGCATCATTAAACAGATGCCAGGCCATTAGGCAGGACACTGTTATTTAAGACATCTGTTTTTACTCATTGCCAGCCACTGCAAAAAGGCATTTATTATTAAGGGTAGGTTTTTTTTTTGTTATTGCCAAGCAATTATGAACAAGTGGGTAGTAAAACTTTGAATACACAACAGTGATTTTAAATTACGAATCATGGCTGCTACAATAGTGTTCATCCTTGAAGTTACCTGCAAAAATGTACTGAATGTGAACAAAAGTTTGCAGTCCATTTCCCTATTCGTGAGTAGGCTGAAAAAAACAATTGTGCAAACAATTTTCACTCAGAAATTGCAAGTAAATTTCATAAATATTTAGGCCTACAAAAAACAGCAAGTAATAAAACATTGAATGTAACTGATATTGTATTTTCTTGCAAATTCTACTCCAATAATCTTTGTTACCTAAAAAAATCTTGTCGGCATGTAGTGCTGTTGCGCTTCGGGCATCCCGAGTTCGAGTCCTGGCTCGCGTACCTTTTCCGATCCCATCCCCCTCTCTCACCCACTTTGCTTCCTGTTGACCTATAGGCCTACAGTTCTGTCTAAATAAACATGTAAAATGCCAAAAAAAAAACAAACATAAAAAAACCCTACAAACTCTGTATGGTGTAGATAAGAGTTATTATAAGAGTGTAAAATTCATTCACCTTTCTTCTTTAAAACAACTGAATGTAGTTATGTGTATTTTTGCGATTTGGAGCCCCCTACTGTTAAGTGAGTGGAATTCATTATGGTAAAAATATCACTTTTGCAACTACAGTGAATAGCTGTACACATGCATTTGTTGGCCCTTTTCGTGGAATTTCATACCAGCTCATCAAACTTACATACTCCCAGAACAGATGCTTTGAGGGATCGTGGGAACTAAACAGAAGCCATCCGTCATATTAGAAGTCAGTGTACCATCAAAATTATTTTGAAACTGATATTTCGAGGTAAAAAAAAAAAAAGTACTTAAACTTACATATGTTAAAACTTATTTACTTGCTTTAACTTGTGTTTATTGGTTCATTTTCTTTGTGGACTGAAGTGCCAGAAAGACCAAGGAGTGTGGTGTCAGAGCAACGGTTTGCTGAGTTCACACTATTCCAGTCCTAAATCACACCTTTTAGTGTTCCTTGCTGCCTGACTGATCTGAAGAAGCTGCACTTGTGTCTCTGTAGTCCACATCTAATTGCTTGCAGGCCTCTCAGCAGCCTGGTATTAATTCTTTCTGACCCCATGAGCCATCGATTCCACTCCATTTGTCCTTTTCCTTCTCATTAGTGTTAGTTTCTAATTATGTAAGACTTACTGGCAACTGAAGGGCTTTTAACCCCTCCAGAGAACCCTCCAACAAAACATGGGTTTAGCAAATGAGCTCTCAGGATGTTTGGGGAGGCATTGTAACACACAATGCTGAATCATGGAGACTTGGCAAAAAATGATAAACGTGCGCACAGTGCAAACGCGGATCGACCTCACAGCAGCAAGCACTGACCGCAGGAGAGAGCTAGCCGTGAGGTCTGATTAACAAGTTCAGCCAGGGGCGCCATTATGGTTTCTGGGGGCCCCGAACAGCATATTGACCCGGGCCCCCTCAAATCACGTTCTGGGGTTTTATGTGCTCAAAAAAGACCTCAGCTGCGTGGAGCAAGAAAAAAAATGTACAAAATCCCTAAACTGAAAATCTAAAGATCCCTCCTGAATAAACTCAGCTGGTCTCAATTTCTAATCATGCATACAAGCAGAATGATTTGTTGTTTGAAGAAAGCTATGGGCTGAAAAGTCTGCTCACTAGTCTGTTTTTAGTTCACTGCATTTTGTATGTGTGTGTGTGTGTGCGTGTGTGTGTGTGTTTTCACTATGCCAATCAAAAAGTAATAAAAATACATATTTTTGATAGACCTCTGTGTTCTGGCTATATTTGTTCAATGTGCGGACAGCACTTCATGGGGATTTAGTAGGTCATTCGATATTGCAATATTGTTGTAATTGTAAGGCTAATTTCTTATTGTAATGTCACATATGTGTCACATCTTTTCAATAAAAGGATTTTGCTGACACTGAAGGTCAATGGCTTCCCTTCTCTTTACCCAGCCTTCACCGTTATCTGTGTGTATTTCAACAGCAAGTGCATCAATATGCAGGAGGTCACCTAAAGGAGGTCACTAGAATTAAATTAGGCCTATATATTAAAATCTACTGTACTTTATAATGAAATATATAATGAATATGGAATCAGTTTTAAAATGATATCACGTACGTATCAAGCTGTCATCTCATCAGTGTGGGTAAACACTGCAAACGTTTATTGACTGCACTGATTTGAGTCCATTCTTAGTAGTTATAATTACTTTTCTTTGCAGAGTAAAATCAAATGTAAAATGTCCTGAAGTTTGATTATTTTATGATCAAACTTCAGGACATACTTTAGAAATCTGTCCAGTCTGGGGAAAGAAAAACTGCAGCTGGAAAGGTGGGAAATTTCTGTGTTCACTAGATGAATCTTAGAATTATTAATCAATTATATAGTTTTCAAACTCTTTAGGATATTGTTTGATATATATATATATATATATATATATATATATATAGCCCTCATGCTGCTAT